TTGTGCACAATATCCAACATTTTCCTTTTGTAACTGAGAATGAAATGGTCCAGGAGAGTTTGCCTATGAGGTTGAAAAAAAACTATTACTATTTCATGAGGACCTTTCAGACAGTATTCTTAAAGCAATTTATTTTTGACAAATATGACATGCCTCTCAGTGGGAATCTAACTGATAAAGATTCCTATAAGGGCCCTACATCTCATTCATATACCAGCTGTAGCATATTGTTCAATTGATTAAGAAACCTTTAATTTACTTTAACTTCTGATTTAGTGACCATTGTTTGCCTAACACAATTAGAAAGGGATTGTCCCCAATCCACAAAGGCACTTAATAATATAAAAACTTACTTGCTCTAAAGAATCATCATCAACAGCTTTCATGCCACACAGAGTCAATCTTTTGATGTAAGCTAGTTTGTCCACAAGGCCAATAAGTAAATCTGTGGACATCTGCACTCCATGTAGAGTCAATTCTGTCAGATTTGGAGGAAAAGCACTCACTCCCACTGACAGTGTGCCATGATTTAAAATTCTATAGCAGTAGCCAATGTCCAGAGTTGACAAATGAGGACAACCTTGGGTAACCTACGACATTCATATTAATTTATGACCCATTTATTAGCATGTGCACAAACCTTACATATCTTAGCCATAATCAATACCATATTCAGGCTACTGTATACCTTAAGGTGGCTTGATTGGCAAAAAATAATCATTTTGACTACACTTTTTTAGACTGTACAATGCTTAATACATCAGTCCTTTGGAAACTTCGCCTTTGGAACACTTTTATGCTGTTGTAAAACATGTATTAAAATCAGCTTGGCTTATTCTTCGAGTGCTTGTTGAGGCCCGGCTGAAAAACCCCAATTTTACCTAAAACATCACGAAAAGTAAACAATGGACTTACGTGTGTTGGTCTGAGGACAAGCGGGTACAAGCATTTAAGTCCTTTTATTATGAGTTCTTTGTACTAATAAGCAAATTGTTTGCTTGCACCTATAATATAACGGTAAAACAGTTCAATCTCAACGCTAAAGTAACTTTATTTAATCCGAGTTTGTTTTCGAATGCCCGACATTTGTGACGAGATGTCGATTTCACACCAAGACGAAACAGGAAGTCAAAAACTTTTTACTACGTGGCCGTCCAATAATTAATTTAAGATAACTAGTCACTAAAGGAGATATTTACTGAATTAAAGCTTAAAACAGTTACGTTTTCTATAACCTATCAAGTTCCTTTGCACAAAGGTATTTCAAAGTCATTTTAGGACCAGATATACAGGTTAAATTTGGTAAAGAAATCTTAAGTTTCATTGTTTATTTTGTTTGCAAGTCACAGTTTCATTCCCGGCCGTGGAATTTACTATGTCCTACAGAGTGGGTTGTTTTACAAAAGGGTGGCCGTTTATTTCCGAAGTAAAACGTGTTTCCGATAGTCTTTTGTACTTTTGTCAATATACATTGTATAGTTTAGTTAACAAAAAAACAAATCGGAGTACAATAGGTCTCGCGAATTCCAATTAAAAGTTCGGTCAGAAATATTTTCCGCCAATGCAAAGTTTTTTTACTTCTGTTGTCACTTTGTTTCGACTTTCTGCGATTGGCAATCCATGACTCACTAAAAGGACCCGCTTGCAATAGTTAGCTGGACTGCAGGATAGAATATTTAAGCACGCCAAATCCATTTAATTAAGCTAATTAATTTTACCCAGTAAGTAGGTTGAATTTTCCCAAGAGAATTCTGTGGAGTTTAGACGTGCATGTATTGCATTTTTTTTCTTTTGCCGTCGTGTAAAACATACTGCAACCATATAATGATTGAAGCTCTACCCTAAATTAGTTTTGAAACTTTTGCTAACACTTCATTTGCTTTCGGAAGGCGTGACATGTCATATATACAGCAGATTGAAGGTCGGACGACAGAAGTTTCTGTCGTTTCTCCTCTGGGATGTTCAAAAAATATGAACTGTTGTTTTTTGGATAAGAAGAATTGCTTAGCAATGCGGGTGGACTCTGGTCAGTTATTCTTCCATTATCAGCGCATAAACTGATGAACAAGATTGTAAAGGAAAGTCAGAGGTCAGCGAATCCTATTTGGCAGTGATAGGAAAAGACAGGTTGGGTGACACCAATTTGCCGCTATCCAACATGGTAACCATTCCATGAAGAAGTCACGAAGGAGAGAAGAATAGAATGAAAATCCTAAGACTGCTATGTCAGGATTGCCAGTGGATTGCTTGTGATCAATGTTGCTTTTGTCGGCGCAGGTTAGTATACCCCGTTCTACCTTCCCACTTTTAAATGGACACATTCTACATTACAAGGTTGGAAAATAAGCGCCTGTTTGCATTTACTTTGCAGTCCCGTTTTCCATATTCAACTGAAGTAAATGCAACTCTGTAACGTTACGTATGCATGTACACAGTTAAACAGGTTGAACTGTTTAGAATTGCGGTGCCGTGACTGAAATCTACATATTTTCCGTTTGTCAGTAATCTAATTAACGTAAAAAGATTGAAATATTCCTTGTCAGTAAATGTACTCTTGAGTGCATGAATAAACTCATGTTATCATTTTATTTTACTTTAAAAGAAGCATATTGACCTGCAGAACGAAAATATGATAATAAAAGAAGTTAAACCACTTTACTTCAGCGGACTCTCTTGGCCTCAGAAAAACACGCACGCAGTCTAATGTTTACTTCTTGCTGATGCTGTTGAGTTGGAATGTCAATAAAATGACAGAGCTACAGGCTGAAACTACAACAAAACTTTTAATGTCCAGTTCGGGTTTTGGTCTACAACAACTGCTGTGCCACAAGGTGCCAAGGTACACGTGACTAGCTAATCACATGACTATCGTCACGCATGTCACGCCACATCCCTTTCCCTTACAACATTAAAAGCAACAACAAAAAAAGAATAGAGGCAAGTTCAATTCAATGTTCAAGTGTTCAACATAAGTCATAATCCTCCAGCCAGGTAGGGGTACGTCTGGTTTGCCCGGAAC